CTGTGTGACCTTGGGTATGTTATATAACCTCTGTACCCCAGTTTCCCCAGCTAAAAAATGGGATAATCATAGACCGGACCTCGTGAATACAGGAGTGCTGGCTGCTAGCAAGCACTCAGTGTCTCTCTCTTCTGGCCAGCAGCCCCCTGGAACTGTCCGAGTTCCTCTGGGTGGACTTTTTGGTGGACAATGGCACTAGTGGGGCTGTGGCAGTCACGCGCCCTGTCACATGGCAGCTGGAGTACCCAGGCCAGGCCCCCGAAGCAGAGAAGGACAAAATGGTGTGGGAGATCCTGGTATCAGAGCGGGACATAAGAGCGCTCGTCCCACTGGCCAAGGTAAGGGGCGGCCCCTCTGCGCAGCCAGGTGGGGAGCTGAGTGAGGTGAAGAGCTGGGGGCTGAGCTCCTTCTGCATGTCCAGGCTGAGGAGCTGGTGAATACGGCACCACTGACCGGAGTGCCACGGCGGGTCCCTGTGCGCCTTGTCACCGTGGACAGCGGGGGGGCCCTGGTGGAGGTGACCGAGCATGTGGGCTGCGAGTCGGCCAATGCACAAGTCCTGCAGGTGAGTGGCACTTGCCAGTCCCTCGTGAGTATGCATTTGTGCACAGCGATGCACAGGCAGCTCTCCTCCTTCCCCATCCACGTCCCCAGGAGGACAGCTGCTTCTCGACACCAGAAATCTCATGGGAGGGCCCGCAGCTTTAATTTCCTTTGTTCCCACCGCCTCTCTCCAGAGTCAGGTGGGAGCTGTGTGACCCCAACTGCCTCCAGCTTAGGCGCTTTCACGTCCATTGTTGCATTGGCAAGTGAACTGCCGTGGGAGAATTAAGAGCGTGCACTCGGGATTGGAAAGTTTCTGTTGGAAACTCTTTGTGATCAGCTAGCTGTGTGATTGTGGACAGGCCTCTGAGCCTCTCTGAGCCTCAGGTTCCTAAGCTTTCAAATGGGAATATACTTTAGGGATGCTGTAAGCACTGAAAGCACCCTAGGACAGTACCCAGCAGAGAGCAGGAGCTGAAACAACAGCAGCTACTGTTGTTATACTAATAATTACATAATGATAACAAATAATGATAATTATTTTTGTTGCATCCTCATCATGACCCATGAGGTAAAAAAATGGGAGAGGGGGGCGGCCGGGCAACGTTCCCCATTTTGAAGTTCTAAGAGGGGAAGTTTGGAGCCTGTATTTCCTGAATCCCAGCTGCCTGAGTAGAGAACAGTGTCTTTGGCTACTTTTGGTGGCACTTTGCTCCCATGTAACTTGTTCCTATCTGAGAGCTCAGGTGAGCAGGTCTGCCTTGCCCCTCTACCTCTGCTTGCCTACCTGTAGCTGGTTGCCAGGTGGCTCCAACACGAAAGTCAGAGGCCAGCACTAAGGGGGCAAATTTGGGGGTTCAAACCCTTCTCTGTCAGGAGAAAGATTCTGTTGTATGCAAATAGCCAGTTTCCTCAACTGAGCCCATGAACTTGGAATGGCTGCTTCCTCCAGAGAGAATGGGTCTTGAAATGCATGGTGAAATCTTAATCTGAGGACATGCATTATAGTAAAACACAGAACTAAATCTCAGCTGTACCCCTTCTTACGGCATGGGGTCAGCACTGCCCGCTCTGGTTCACAGCTGCATTCCGTGGCTGAGTCCACCCCCTACCCTCTGCCCCCCACAGGTGTCCGAGGCCTGTGATGCTGTGTTCGTGTCTGGCAAGGAGAGCCGGGGTGCTCGAGGCGTGCGGGTTGACTTCTGGTGGCGCCAGCTGCGGGCCTCGCTGCGGCTGACCGTGTGGGCCCCGCTGCTGCCCCTGCGCATCGAGCTGACCGACACCACCCTGGAGCAGGTCCGGGGCTGGAGGGTTCCCGGCCCCGCTGAAGGGTGAGTGGAGGCCTGAAGCAGCTGGCCGACCTTGGCAAAGTTGCTCTGGGACTGAGAGGGGGCCTGACGCAGCCATGGGCTCAAGCTGGGCTCTGAAAGAGTGCCCGGTTGATGTGGTTCCTTCCACCCATCCCGGCCGCCCCGGCTCCTTCCCCACCGCAGTTCTGTGGTATCATCTGATTCATCTTGTTTGTGGACTCTCTGCCCCCTCCACAGCTCTCCCCTAGAATGTTAACCCTTGAAGGAAGGCGATTCTGCTCACTGCTGTATCCTCAGAGCCTAAGATGGCACCTAGCTCAGTAGATATTAAGGGGGTCCCACCAGAGCCCAAGGGTGCGGTGGCCTTAGGAACCCCTGTCTCTCGAAGGAGAGGGGGCTCTCCTCCTGCCACCAGCAAGTTCCAGTTAGGAGCAGGAGAAAGAAGAGAACAGCTTGATGGATAGCTACAGGCACCAATTAGGAACGGAGTAGCCTGGCCCAGCAGGTGCAACTGTGGGCAGAGTTTAAAGAATGGCGCTCACTGTGGGCAGGAGGAGGGTGGGGTCTCCAGCAGAAGGGTCCTCCCAGCCGGGGGCAGAGCCCACGCTGACCAGGTCCCTCACCCTTTCTTTGTAGGCCGCAGGAGCCCCAGGCGGCGGCTGCGGGGGAGGAGGCAGAGCCACGAGCTCGGGGCTGCCGCCTGCAGTACCAGCGTGCTGGCGTGCGGTTCCTCGTTCCCTTCGCGGCCCACCCGCTGGACGGCAGCCGCCACCTCACTCACCTGCTGGGCCCCGACTGGCTGCTGGACGTGTCCCACCTCGTGGCCCCGCACGCCCACGTGCAGGACCCCCGTGTAGCCTCCCTGGAGGACGGCCACATCTTGGTGGGCCGGGAGCCCGGGGTCACCTCCATCGAGGTGAGCAGAGCCTCTGAGAAAGGTGCAGGTGGCCCCTGGAATATTCATGGGCAGGTGTCAAGGGTGCCGGAGGGGCTCAGGGTGTACCTGGGGAGGTATGAGCCCAGTGGGATGGGGGATTGGGTGAGAATAGGGTGGCCCATGTAATGGGGAAAGGCCTTTAGATATGAAGGGCTGGGGTTGGGTATGTGGGAGCCAGGTCTTGAGAGAGAAGGGAACTGTTCCCCACGTGTAGGGCTGGGGTCCAGGTATGTATGTCGGCTGTGGGGCTGGAGTGCAAAGGGTAGGGAAGAGCAGCCTGTGCAGATGCTGGGAGCGGCAACCTGATCCCTTTGTGGGGCTGCCGGGGTCTCAGAGGGGAAAGGCTGTCTGTGCATGAGGACTCCCACCGCCAGCTCCTTCTCACCCTCAGGTGCGCTCCCCACTGTCTGACTCCATCCTCGGGGAGCAGGCGGTGGCCGTGACGGACGACAAGGTCTCAGTGCTGGAGCTTCGGGTGCAGCCAGTGATGGGCATATCCCTGGTCCTGAGCCGGGGCACTGCCCACCCCGGGGAGGTCACGGCCACATGCTGGGCACAGTCAGCCCTTCCCGCCCCAAAGCAGGTGACAGCTGGGGACCAGGGGGATGAGGTCAATGTCTCCAGATGGGGGACGATGACAGGGGGGTGGGAGGTGCTTTGACCCCTCACCTTAGGGTTTTCAGAATAAGGACTGACTGCCCTGTAAGGTAGTGAGCTCCCTGCGGCTGGAGGTGACCGAGCAGTGGCTGTCTGGAGTGTGTCAGTGGGAGGTTGATTAATGACTGACGACCCTCCTGATGACTCAGACCCCGGGGCTGAGTGGCCAACAGGTGATTGACGCATGTCCCCTCTCTCCCTGTGTTTGTCCATCTGCTTGTGTCTCTTTTCTCTCTGGTCTCTCCCCCTCCGTGTGGCCTGTCTCTGTGGGAGTGGTCTCTGTGTGCATGCGTGCGTGCCCTCGCGTCTCTGCCCGTGTCCGTGTGCCCCACAGGAGGTGGCCCTCTCCCTGTGGCTGTCCTTCTCTGACCACACCCTGGCCCCCGCGGAGCTCTACGACCGCCGGGACCTGGGGCTCTCCGTCTCGGCCGAGGAGCCCAGCGCCGTCCTGCCAGCGGAGGAGCGGGGTGCCCAGCTCAGGGTGGTGGTGAGTGGGGCCGGCGCCGAGGGGCTGCCCCTGCATGTGTCCCTGCACCCGCCTGAGCCATGCCGCCGGGGCCGCCACCGTGTGCCCCTGGCCTCCGGCACCAGCTGGCTTGGGCTGCCTCCTGCTCCCACTCCGGCCCCCGCCCTCCCCTCCAGCCCTGCCCGGGACTCACCAGCCACGGAGGCCAGTCCGGGAGGTGAAGGGCAGGCGGCAGGCAGTGTGGGCGACAGGGGGGGTGTGCGGGGCAAGTTCGAGCCGGCAGAACAAGAGGCTGGGAAGGAGGAGGAGGCCGAGGCTGGGGAGGAGGAGGGAGAAGAGGAGGAGATGGTCCCGGCCCCGCAGCGGGTCACTGACCTACAGCTAGGCATGTATGCCCTGCTGGGCATCTTCTGTCTGGCCATCCTCATCTTCCTGGTCAATGGTGTGGTCTTCGTGCTGCGCTACCAGCGCAAGGAGCCCCCCGACAGCGCGACTGACCCTGCCTCTCCGCAGCCCCACAACTGGGTCTGGCTGGGCACTGACCAGGAGGAACTGAGCCGCCAGCTGGACCGGCAGTCCCCGGGCCCACTCAAGGGGGAGAGGGGCTGCCCCTGTGAGAGCGGGGGCGGGGAAACCCCAGCCCCGGCCCCGGCCCAGGCACCTGCTGGGGGCACCACCTGCTCCTCCAGCACCCTGGCCCGGAAGGAAGCTGGGGGGCGGCGGAAGCGCGTAGAGTTTGTGACGTTCGCACCAGCACCCCCAGACCAGCTGCCTGAGGAGCCCGTGGGGGCCCCCGCCGTGCAGTCCATCCTGGTGGCAGGTGAGGAGGACATCCGCTGGGTGTGTGAGGACATGGGGCTGAAGGACCCTGAGGAGCTGCGCAGCTACATGGAGAGGATCCGGGGCAGCTCCTGACCCCGCCCCAGCCTGCCTGGCCCAGGCTTGTCGGACTGGGCAGCCTCCTGCTCATCCTCTGGTGCTTATTGACCGAAGTCCCCTGCCTGGTCCCTCACAAGGACTCCCACCCAGGCCCCCTCTGCTCTGCTCCTTGTCATGGACCATGGTCATGAGGAAAGGCTCATGCCCCTTATTTATGGGAACCATTTCATCCTATTGTTGGGTACAAAATAAATGGAGAAGGAAACCCCAGCTGGGACTGCTGTTGTCTTTCTTCCCATGGAAAGAAGCAAGGGGGTGAAGTCCAGGGGGCATGTCAGCCCCTATCCCTGCTGGCACAGCTTTGGGAGGCTGGGCCATGAGCTGCCCTCTCATAGCGACCGGCGATCCACATGAACAGGAGGGCCGTGGCAGCCTGGATGCCGGCCAGCAGGAAGAAGTACCGGTCCATCTGGCAGTTGTTGATGTTCCCTGGGGAAAAGGGAGGATGGCATTTGGGTCAGGCAGGGCTCCCCGGGGCTGGCAGCTGAAGCAGTGTGGCCGGTGGGTGGGATCTGAAGACTGGGCAGACAGCCTCTGAATGCCCTGGGTCTAGCTGCTATTTCTGGGGCTTAAAACACAAAGGCCACAGGAAAAGGTGACCCCTCAGCCAGGATGGCGGGGTTCCAGATGCAGGAAGGCACCGTGGCGGCCCACTGAGGTCCATGCTTCCTTATTGACAGTTGAGGAAACCCAAGGAGGGGAGGCCGTGCTGTGGGCGGATGGCCAGCTTGGGCGAGAACCCCGTTCTCTGCGTCCAGCTGGCTACTTCATTCCGCTGCGGGTCAAAGCACTTAGCAGGGGCCACCTCCTTTCCCAGCCTCCGTCCATCTGTGTCCCACGCCCAGGGAGGCCCCCACTCACCGTAGTCTTTGGGGCAGTATAACCAGCCCCCTGGCAGTGACAGTAGAGCCTCCAGGCTGGAGCCCAACAGCGAGCCCACTCCCGACAGGAAGAAGAAGATGCCCATGATGGCGCCCTGCATGGAGCGCGGGGCCTCCGAGTAGGCGAACTCCAGGCCTGCAGAGAGCGAAGCGGGATGACCGAAGGCGCCCAGGCCCCTGCCCACTGGGCCCCACCCGCAGCCCACCTCCACCCTGGCCCTCCCTGACCTGTCACCTGTGTTCCCTCACCTGCCCCATGGACCTCCACCTGGACAACCCCCCTGTTGTCCCAAGAGCCTTGTCTCCCCTCCTCCCCCACCTCCTTGCCACCTTCATCTGCCCCCTCTCCCTTCTGCCCGCCCTCAATATCAACACCGAATCATTTTCATTCAACCTCAGAAATGTCTTCTCAGTGTCAACCCTCTGTTATTCCCTCTGTCCTGAGCCAAACCCTGGCCCCGGGCCTTTCCTGCCTGGCCTCTGCACATGCCTCTTAAACGCCTGTCTCTCATCCTCCTCTTCATAGGGCCAGGTGTCTAAAAATAGAGAATGGGGTCCTTTCTCTGCCCAAATCCCCCTGGGGGGGGTGGCTGTTGCCCTCGGGAGAAATCTCAACATCCAGGCTCAACCCACAAGGGCTGCCCTGCACCCCCAGCCTTCCCCAGGCTCCCTGCAAGGCTCAGCTCTTTGCTTGTGCTGTTCCATCTACCTGTGAGATCCCGGCTGCCAGCCCCTGAGTTCGGTCCTCTCTCCCCCTGCCCCAGGGCTCCCCCAACTCTCTATAGTCACTCGCGTGGCACTCCACTGGGTTTACTGTTCAGGAGACTTGTTATCGACTCTCCCCCCGCCCCCCATCAGTGAGTCCCACCCGGCCTTCCCCTGTGCGCGCTGCTGAGTAAGCCTTGCTCTTGGCTCATGGAAGAGCCCAGCCCAGCCCAGCCCAGCCCTGCAGCTCTCGTCTCACCGCCCAGCCCAGGGAGGCAGACAGGTAAATGCCTCATTACAACACAGGGACCTGTGTGCTGTGTCAGAGATAAGAGATGACAAGGAGGTACACGGAGGACCCACTCTGCCCCGTGGAGGTGGGGCGCCTGGGAAAGGACCTTGTGAAGGAGATGGCACTTAGGCTCAGAAGTGAAGGGAAACAGGAGTTCACTTTCAATCTGAGGCAGAGGGAAGAGCAACTGCAAAGACAGCGCGTGGGGACGTGGCCGCGGGGGGATATGTGGAAAGTCAGTGAGGGAAGTGCCTTATTCTCCTCCCAATCCCCAGTGCCCATCGCAGTGCCTGACACAAACCACGTGCTACTAAACTCCCACCGGGTATGTGCAGCCCCACTGGGAAAATCCCGCCTCCTCCATGCAGATGAGCTCTAAGGCTGTGTCCGTGAGACCTCTGAGTTCGAGGCACCCCCAAGCAGAGCCCATCACTGATGCAAGAGCAGGGGATGGGTCCAGCGTACCTGGGATGCTGGCAAAAATCTCACTGATCCCGATGAGCAGGTACTGGGGGATCTGCCACCAGATGGACAGTGGTGCTGCATAGTACATGTCCTCCCCGATCTGCTGGGATACCGTCTGGTTGTGATGGATGTATTCTAAACGCTTCATCTCCAGGAATCCTGGGGCGGGGAGAGAGGGGACTACAGCCAGGTCCACCCCAAGCAGCTTAGCCCACGGCAGAGCTTGGCATGTGGAGGGCATTCACTAAGTAGCCAAGGACCAGCTGGGCAGCAGGGAAGGAAAAGAATACTGGGCTAGGGTGTGTGCGTGTGTGTGTGTGCGTGTGTGTGCGTGTGTGTGTGTGTGTGTGTGTGTGTGTCAAGATTTGGGTTATAACTCTTCCCTTTTTGCCTTGCCTGCTCGGAAGCTCAGAGCAAAGTTTTGCACTCGGTAACAGGAACAGCTCTCATTAATTGAGAGCCTCTTGTGCGCTAGGCTTTAATATACATTCTTGCAAATGAAGAAAGAGAAATTTAGGTTAAGCAAGCAGCCCAGAGCCACACAGCTGGTAAGTAATTGGGGCTGGACTTGAGCCCCAGTGGGTCTGGTTTCAACGCTGGCCCACGTTCCATGCTATCACATGACTCCTCTACCGTAGCATCAAGTATTACAGTAGGGTTTCTAACCTGGCTTTCAAGTTTATTTTATCTCCTTCTCCTTCGCTGCTTAGGAGACAGCTGTGTTCTAGTGGGATAAAAACAGGATGTGGAGTTCAGTGACTAGGGTTCCAACCGTGGCCCTGCCACTGACTAGCCGTGTAACCTCAGGCAAATCACTTAACCTCGCTGAGACCCAGATGGAATAACAATCCCACTACTACTGCGAGGATGAAATAGGACAAACTGCACTAAAGCACACAGCTTTAATGCACTTAAGCACACAGCTTAAAAAGAACCTCGTTTGGTTTTCATCCTGGCTTGTAATAAATACAATCCTGTTTATTAATTCCTCTGGCTCTGACTTGTGATCCAGGCACGGTGCTGGACGCTTCACAGATTTCATCTTGCTTCATCTGCACAACACTCCTGCTAGACTGCACTCCACGTGGACACAGCCTGGGCCCTGCACCAGGTCTCAATGAACCACTATCTCTGTTTTAAAGATGAGGCTCACAGACTCCAAGAACCTTCAGGATCATTAAGTGACTAAGTGAAAGGGAGTGAGGTTTGAGCAACAGCATGAAAGGCTGCTTCAACTGAGCACCTTTTTTTATAAGTGGCTTCAAATTCTTTCAACATGGACGAAGGAAGAGAATAAATACTTTTCAAAAGAAAAGTTCCCGTGCGCTACTAAGAGGCTGTGTGTCTCTGGAAAATTCACTCGACACATTGGTTTAATGCCATGTGCATTACTGTTAGCAGTGAATAAAAAAAAGAAAAACACCCCTGCCTGCAGGGAGCTTACATCCCACTGGGAAAAATATGTTCTCCTCTCTTGGTCCGAGTTTCCCCATCTGTCAGATGTGGGGGCACTGGACTCAATGAGGAAAGCCTCCTCCAGCTCACACCTTCTGGGGAGGCAAGACTGGCACCCGCGAGGGAGGGCTTCCTTGGCCCAGGCCCCCGGCTTCCGCAGCAGCCACAGTGGACCTGGTCCCGGCCCAGCCCCCAGGCAAGGCCAGCCTCCGTCCCACTGCCCTCCACTCAGGCCCACACACCTGCCACAATGACGGAGGCAAAACCAAAGAACATCCCCAGGGCCATCTTCTGCAGAGCCGAGGGAAGCAGTTTGCACCTCAGCAGCAAAGGGTCGAGCAAATGGTCCTTCACCGGCACCAGGATCAGCACCACCACGACGTTGGCCAGGAGGAGCCAGGCCGCGGGGATCTGAGCAAGAGGGAGCCGAGAGAGGCAGGTTACAGGGTGAAGGGCGCCCTGTGCTGGCACCAGGAGGCACGCTCCTCAGCTGTGCAGCTGGGGGTTGAGATGGGATCACAAGTAGCAAACAGGTTCCTCTGACTTCTACCCATTGGCAGTGGCTGCCTGCAACATTCGCAGGCTCAGCATAAAGAACGTCATGATTGATTAGTGATGCAGGCCATGGGCCACAAAGGGAGGTAGAGTGGCCGACATGCCATTCATCTTCCAGCTCTGAAGACCTTTGATTTTATGAGTCTCTGAAATGCCACGAGACTGGTGTGGACAATCCTGGCGAAAGGCAGAGGTCTCAGAGAAGGACAGGGCAAGGCAGAGTTGAGGAGGGTGCACCTGGCCTGAAGGCCTGGAGCAAACTGTGCGGTGAGGCCTGCCCAGAGCAGCAGTGGGCAGGAGGGAAGCTAGCCTGCATTCTTTGGAGCAGCTGAGCACCTCGGCAGGGTGGCACGAGTCCGCCCACCCTCCAGGTGCCTTTCCTATGCCCCGAGGACACCCTGCCACAGGGCGAGAGGAGTGTAGAGGCAGCTTCATTTCTGCCTCTTCTCGGAGGAAGCCCCTGGCCTGGCCTCAACTGGGGGCTGAACATACCAGTTATCACTCACCTTATAGCCACCGTTCTGGGCTCCCAGGGCCACGGAGCTGTTGCCAGGATAGTCTGGGAAAACGTTCGGGATGTGGAGATGAAGCCCTTGTAGAACATACGTGGATTGCATCTGCCAAGAGAGATGGAGGGGAAGTTGCAACAGCGCTGACCACCTCACCTCCGGCCCCGGCACACTCCAGCGGCCAGGCAGGCATTCCTCCACAGTAGCACAGGGCAGCCGGGCAGCTGTCCCCTCCCCAGCCTCAGGGGGAAAGTGACTGCCCCACCCTCCTTGTTCCTCGGAAGCAGACTCGGCTGGGGCGCTTCCTTCATTTTGCTCCCGGCCCGTGAGCTGTGCGGGGAACCTTATTCCTGAGCCAGGCACAGCTGGTCGGGCTCATACTGTGTCTCCAGGGCCTGGCACAGAGCAGGCGTGAATAAATGCTTGTTGACATGGGGAAAATAATGACATGGCTGTCCCCACGGGGAGTGCTCATCTGACACTGAGGCCAAGCTGAGCCCCACAGGTTGCCACAGCCAGGAAACGTGTAGGCACTGACCCACTGAAATGCTCCGGACCTGATGATAGGTACAGGCATCGCCCCTCTAGTCGCTGCAATGGAGGGGCATCTGAGAGAGTTCCCGGCAGGCTCTGGGGCGGGGGTGGGGGGCACTTGGGTTGCTCCAGGCAGCAGCCATGTATCAACTGGTGTGGAAGGATGTCAATATTCTTTTTTTTTTTATTGTATTTTTCCCATTACAATTTATCTCCCCTCTCCCATATCCTCTTCCACTTCCACTCACCAGGATGTTAATATTCTGACATGTAGGAATCAGCCATGGACACACACACAAACACACACACACACGCCTGTCCCGTCATGGACACCTCCTACCTCTGTGCTACCCCGAAGTAGCAGGCGGGCCCTGCATGACTCCCATCTCCTGCAGCTCAAGATAAGGTTCCTATGGAGGGAGTGTGGGAGGCCATGACCTTATAGTCCGGGGTTTAGGGGCCACGGTTAGGCTGTTGCCCGGTCCACACACACACACACACACACACACACACACACACTCACACGCTCACGCTCACATGCAGACACCTGCTCACCTTCCCCTTGGGGAGGGCTGGGAAGCTGTGGTTCTCAAAGCCGGCTGAGTGTCAGCCTCATCTGAGCGGCTGATCACAGCAGAAACTTCCTGCAGCAATTCTCTTTCAGTAGCCTGGGGTAGGACTCAGGGATCTTTAGTTTTTTAAAAGCTCCACAGGTGCTTCCGAGGCACAGCCAGTGGGGAACCCCTGTTACATGGTCCTCAGGCCACTGAGCTTGCCCCTAACTCGCTGTGGGGTCTCGGTCCACCGACAGACCCTCTCGGGGCCTCCGTTGCCAAGTTTGGAAAATCTGAATGCTGCAAAGCTGTTAGAGCCTTTGTCCAAGCCTCTCATTTCACACACGAGGGAGCTGAGGCCCAGAGAGATGGGCTTCGAGTCACTGGGCCTCCACCCCGCATCCAGAGCTCCTCGTGTTCCACCACCCAAGGGTGTTTAACTACGGGGTGGCCTTGGGTCCAGCCCACGCCAGCTGTGCCCTTTGTGAACCCCTCCCCTTTCCCGCATGCCCTGGGCTTCTACGGTGAGAGATGAAACCGGTGAGGGGCTAGGGAGCCAGTCACCCCGGAGCGAAAGGGCAGGGGTGCTCACCTGGAAGTACACCATCCAGTAGGGCACCAGGGTCACCATGACGGGCAAGATCTTCGCCAGCACCCAGAAGTTGGCGATGTCCTCCTGGGGGGAGGGGCCAGTCCAGGGAGACTGCTGGTCAGGCAGCAGCTGGGCATCTTCAGGGTCTCTGTGGGGCAGCAGATAAAATGGCAGCCACCGTCACCGCCACCGTGGCCCCTGTTCCCACCTGCACCATCCTCTCTGGATTTGATCCTGCTGTCCTGATAGTCGCCACGGCCTCCTCTCCGACACCAGCCCCACCCGCCGTCCACCCTTACTTAGCACGACCTTCGCTGCTCTCACCGTCAGCGCCAGTGCCAGCGTCCTCTCCATCACGGCCATTAAGAAAACGATCGCTGTCATACCGCTATTTTTTTCAGTGCTGGCACTGCCATTGTCAATACGATCACCTCCTTCGTAGCAAAGGTGGCTGATCAAGACCCATTCTGCCCGACAGCTGCGGCCCCTTGGGTCCTGAAGGAAGTTCAGACCGGGGGTGGTGGCGAGCAGTCTTGGGGGACTTTTTGTCTCACAGCAATCAGTTTGCCATGGGAACCAAGGAAGTCCCAGCCCATGCCTGACTCAGAGAGAGAGGCTGCCACAGATTTGATGCGCCAAAACTGCCCCCCTTGCTGTCTCCCAAGTCCGTCCTCCTCAACTTGACAGCCCTCTCCCTACACGACAAAGAGGTGGAGAGTAAAGGGAACGTTGCCAGGAGACAGGAGAGACCAACCACTCTGCAACCTTTACCACTACCCTTTGTTGTGAGGGGTTTCTGCCCAAGAGTCTTGCCTCATTGAGATTCTTAAAAAAGGGGTAATACCACTGTGGTCATTTCCAAGGACCGCTACCGTTGGCTTCTCCCTTCCCAGTGCGCGGTGCCACTCTGCCAGTGCGTGGAGTTTATTTCCCTTGCCCTGGGATCTGGGCCAGCCTTGTGTCTGCGCTGGCCCTTCCCGACGCGCCCTCTTGGAATGTTCACTCCCTTCTCCTGCAACCCAAGCACTTTGCTGTGAGAAGCTCCAGCCACAGCGTGAGGCCACATGAAAAGGAACCAAGGTGCTCGTTGGCAGCCAACATCAACTGCCAGCCACATAAGTGAGCCACCTTGAATGCTGCAGCCCTTTCAAGTCCCCAGAAGACTGCAGCTCCCGGTGACATGACAAGAAGCAGAAGAACAGCCTGGCTGACCCCAGCCACCCACAGTATTGTGAGAGGTAATGGAAGGTGGTTGTTTAAGCCACTAAGTTCCGGGGTGGTTGGTTAGGCAGCAATGGACCATTAAAACAAACCCTACAGCCCTGCTAGAAGGTAGGGAAAGCAGGCTGCGCACCTCTTCCATCTAGACTCCACTGACAGGAGCTGTAACTGCCCCCAAGGTCTGGAGACAAGTTTGTTTAACAAAAGGAGTCAATTAACTTAGGGGGGAAAGAGGCAGAAGGGAGCCATTGTCCAAGTGCCAAGTGCAACACCATTCAGACCTTCCTCCCTTGTTTGCCAGCTAATGGGGGAGGAGCCAGTTTGGCTGATTGATTAGACTTTCTTCTACTTACTTTCAGGGAAGTATAGCATTATTCCCATTGCATCCCAATGGTACCAGTCCCGGCATCTCCATCATCGCCACCTCTACTACCATTGTTATCAACATTGACAGGGTTTATTGATCTTCACGGTAGCTACTAACACCATCAGCCCTGCCTTTATCCCCACCACCGCTGTCAAGACCATAAATAGTTTCTATAGTTAACCCATTGCCGATCCCAGCACCTTGACCTTCGCTGCCATCCTCAGTCACAGCGGGCAGCTCCGGCCCCCCTGAGATCACGTCATCCTACATGGCTACCAGCGTGCCTGCCGACTGGGCCATGACTTCCCAGGAGAAGCAGGCGCTTGTCCAGGTTCGGTGGCCGCCTTCACCCCGAGCACTCTCCTTACCTGGCAGAGCGTCGGCACCACAGCTGAGGGCAGCAGTTTTGGAAAGCAAGTTTAAGCATGGAGGACACTTGGCTCCCCGTGGGGGGCTTGGTGATGAAGACAGGGGTCGCGAAGAGGAAGACGAAGAAGGCCAGGCCCACACAGCCCACGGGGATGCTGTAGCCCACCAGGAAGCTGATGTTCTGTTGGATGAAAGCCACCAGCAGCAGCGACAGCACAGCACCCACATTGATGCTCCAGTAAAACCAGTTGAAGAAGCGGCGGTTGGCGTGGTGACCAAGGTCCATCACCTGCCAGGCAGGGGTGAGAGTGAGGGCCAAGGAGGGCTGGGGCACCCTGCCATGGCATATTCTCTGTACCCGCACCCCCTCTCCCACAGAGATACTTCTTGGGTCAGCAGGTGGGCATTCCAGCACTTTCCTAATCCATGATCAATAAATAGATGCTCAATAAATATTTGTTGAATGAATGAATAAACCCTTTTCTTGGGAATCACTTGTTAATGATCAGGACATTGTGGCACAGCTGTTTCTTTGGGCCCAAGACATGTGTTCCTTTTTTATTGTCACCAAGTAGTGCACAGAACAGATGTACCTGATGCCACGTTGTTCATTTCTGGTTAATTTATCCCTTTATCTCTGAGTGAGCAACCTACAATATGCATCACCTTTATAATCATAAAGAGGCCAATAGAGATCTCAGGTCTGTTCCACATGATTAAATGTGATGTATGCTTATTAATGAAAGAACAGTTAGAGACCTAGATGAGAATTTTCTCCACAGTTTGGAGATGCAAACAGTTTTCTATTGTGGCTCATCCCTTCACCCTGCCTTGCCTCCCTCTAACACATGCCCAGCCAAACAAGGTTGGCGTAATCAGGGAGAGCAGAGGTGGTCCTGGACACAGCCCCAGGGCGGGAGGAAAACAAAATTCAGGCCCCCCAGCAAGGGCAGAATGGCTGCAAATCTTTATGCAAGATTTGAATCGATCTGCAACAGTCAGGCCTCAGGCCCCTTTCCGGTCTGCTGGCTCGGGGCAGCTGTACTGGCTGCCCCCGCCCGCCCAGACCCTGGTTCTAGATTCTAACTTGGAAGGTCTGGGGCAGGGTCTAGGCATCTGCATTCCTAAAAAAAAAAAAAAAAAAAGGCAGTGAGACCTGGAGGTCACTTCTCTAGATAAATGATTCTGTGCACTATTACATCCCTTGCCCTTTCAATGACCCTCTCATCACAGACACCATCACTCTCCTTCCATCCAGAGATATGCATTTCCAACAGCTAAGCTTTTGTCAAGCTTTACTTTCAGTAGTTGCATCGGGGAAAAAGGTAAGTATTTTCTTCCTTTTCCAAATGTAGAACAATAATCCATAAAGATGGATTTAAAACTGTACTCCCTTGGAGGTTCTGGGGGGTCTTCTTGGCGATGGAGAGGGACAGGTATGTCCCTGCATTGAGAATCCGTGCTGTAGACTTTCAGGCAGAAAATTGAGTGAGTCCCATTAGAAGCAGCCACTTCCATTTCTTAATTGGATGTAAATGGATATGACAATTGCAGCTCTAAGGGGAAGATCAGGCAGCCGATTCAGGATATAAATGAGCGCTTCGTCGAGAATGATGGATGGCCCTTTCGGAAACCAGCAGTGTGTTAAACATGCGGATCCTGGGCATAGCTGTCTGCCAGATGGGTTCCAGCCCTCCCGCCCCCCACCTAACTGCCCCCCTGAATTCACAGCAGCCCTTCACTGCTCTGCTGTGCCCATTCTTGTGACTGCCATCCACTGTAGCCAGGGCCATTTTAAAGAACACAAATCCAATGATGTCCATCCTGCCTCAGATCACATCAGGTTTCCCAAACTGTCCTAGGCGTCAGCACCAGACCCCTGAAGCAGCCTTCCCGTGCGGCCTCGTGCTGCCCAAAGTCCACGGCCAGTAAGTGGGAGGATGCACAGGAGCTGTTGTCCATCTTGCTGCCCCTGAAGGTCCTGCCCAGGAGCCTGGAGTCCTGGAGACCAGTTCTGCCACCAGGAGGGAGGAGGGAGAGACCGGGGGCCCTCTGGGGGTCAGTGAGGTCAAGAGCACAGGCTGAGGCCAGCTGGGGGCAGAGTGGGATGTCAATGAGAGAGGAGAGGGAAGGGAAGACGAGAGATTCCTGCTGGCAGAGAGCGGGCCGCCAGGTCCGAAGGAAGGCCCACAGTGCCTCAGAAACGGCAGGGCTGCTCTGGGGTGCCGAGTCCCCCACCATGAGACGAATCCACGCAGGCTCATGAGTGACTCCTTGGCCAGGGCACCGGAAGCTGTGTCAGGAGCCGGACTGTGGATGCCAGCTGGATGCAATGGTTCCTTTTTTTTTTTTTTTTTTAAGCCCCTTTTATGATTGTAAAACATGCAACTAAAGAGCATTTGTAAAACGGGGACAATGAAGAAAAAAGTACAATTAGATCAAGGACGTGATGATACATTCTACTGCTACAATTTTCTTTGTAGCCCTGAGTCTTTTCACCTGGCTGAGATCACATCCTGTACACAGTTCTGCATCTGTTTTTGCTCATTAACACCACACATGGTTGTTTTAATCACATTACAGATTATTTTAAATTATTGTCTCATGTCCCACTGAGTAACGCTATTAAACTATAGCCATGTGATTAGGCACTTATTCACTTAGCAAATAATTATTGAATGTCTCCTATGTGCCATGCTCTGTCCAAAGGGTCCAGAGAAAGGCTCAGAGGTTAAGGTATTTGCCCAAGTGCCCCTGGCCAGGCCGGCAGGCCCCTATCACACGTAAAGGCAGCCCTCATGGCGAGGCCTGAGTTCCAGCTGCCCTCACCTGGCCTGTGACTTGCTCTCTGTGTGATCTTGGGCAGGGTAATTAACGTCCTGAAACCTTACCGTCCTCATTTGTAGAACGGACATAACCGTACTACCTACCTCCTGGGTAGTTAAGAGGATTAAATGAGTTAAAACACTGAAATGGCCCAGAGTGAAAGAGGGACCACTCTGGTTTAAAGCTTATTGTTGTCATGGAACCGTAGTTCGAGTGAGCGTCAGTTCCCTTGCTCTTTCAAATAAGGAAACCAGGCCCGGAGAGGGAAGTGGTTCGCTCGAGGTCACGCTGGGAGCCAGAGCCTCCTGACTGCTGGGTCTCGGCCTCTGTCCCTGGCTTTCCGTCCGCACTCCCCGAGCCTCCCGAGGGGGCGGCCCACCCGCCACTCACCTGGTCGGCCCCGAAGGAGGTGAGATTGCTCCTGACGGAGCTGGCGGCCAGGGCGAGCAGCAGCAGGCCGACGTAGAGGGTGGGCGCGCAGTAGGGGGGGCGCCAGGGGCGCGGGCAGCTGGGCGACGGGCAGATGGGTGACAGCGGCGACTCGGGCAGCTCGCCGCAGAAGGAGCGGCGGCCATCGGGGACGGCGGTGGCGGGCAGCAGGCTGGAGGCCACCAGGTAGAGCAGCAGGCTGAGGGCGATGGCTCGGAAGCGGCCCAGGTACACGTCGGCCAGCCAGCCGCCCACGGGCGCCAGCAGGTAGGAGGCGCCCAGGAAGACGAGCGCGGCGCGCGACGCCTGCTCGCCGGCCCACTGGAAGTTCGCGCTGTTGAGGTAGAGCACGAGGTTGCCCGCGACGCCGAAGAAGGCTGCGCGCTCCAGCGCCTGCACCAGCAGCACGGCGGCCGCCGCCGCCCGCCGCCACCGCCGGGGGCCCCGCGGCCTGCGCGCCAGCAGCGGCCGGCGCTCCCCCGGCCCGCGGGGCTCCCCCGGGGCTCGCGGCCCGGGCATCCCACCCTCACGCGAGCCTCCGCCCCTTCCCCGCGGCCCCACTCCTTTCCTGCCTCCCAACTGGCCGCCTTCCTTTCTCACCCCTCGTATCTCACTCTGCGCGCGCTCCCCCCGCTTTACCCCCTGCGCTTCCCCGTCCCCTCTCCCTGCCTTTCTCCCCCCACGGGTTCTTCTGCTGCCGCGGCCCAGGTTCTCCCTGCCCTCCCTCCTTCCCAGCTCTCTCCTCTCCCCTCCCCGCACCCCCAACTCTTCCTCCTTCTCCACTGGGACTCCTTCTCCCCGTCCCCTGGTCCTCAGCAACCCTCCTTCCTCCCTTCACTTCTCTGCCCCTCCCCTTCCTTTGCAGTTGGTCTCCCCGCTTGGTCGCCCTTTCTTAACTCCAGTCCCCTCCCCTCTGACACTTGTCTGCGCCCCGAGGAGGGGCCCTCCCACCGGGGCTCTCTCAGCTGTCTCCTCCGCGGCCTGTCTGTGCCCCCGCCGCCCCTCCAGGTCCCCGCTGGTGCTGCCTCCTGGCTCAGCCCTCTGCTTCTTGAGAAACCCCGGGAGTCCCCTTGCTTCCCCTTTCACAGCTTCTGTCACCCGGCTCTGTCACATGGTGCCGTCGGGTGTTTAGGAGAAATGAAAGCCTGGGTCACAGGGTCCCTATCTGCCCAGATTTCTACAAACCTCCCTACTTCCCTGCCTGCCACTCCACCCCCCCAGCTCCACCCGCCTTCCTGGAGCCTGGAGGAAAAGTTTCCTTTTCACTTTCATTTCTCCTGTTCCAGCACCATCCAAAGCTGGAATGACAGGACTGGAAAGGCTGTGTGTCATTGGGTCCCACCCACCCTCTCTGCAGATGCAGACAGGGAGGCCCAGGGGAGCCCGGAGGGAGGCAGGCAGGCAGGATGATTAATGGTTCCTGGTGACCAAACCCGTGCCCCAACCCCTGAGCAACAGGGGAAGCTCTCAAAATGCAATTCAGATTGTGCAAATGCCACCGTGAGGAAGGAAGTAGGCACCATCAAGGACCGTGTGACGTCATGCAGCACCCCACAAAGGAGTCGAGATTGAGAGGGACACGGACCTCAGGCTAAATCGAATCAGCCCTCAGCCCTCCCCTCCTCGGAGCTGTGCAGGGCCCTTGGGTTAGGAGCCAGCCCTCCCTGGGACCCGCGGGACCGGACCCCTGCCATCCTCCAGCCTCAAGGCAGTCCCACGGCCACCCAAGTGCAGCCGCACCGACCTTCCTCCTGCCCCCTCACGTGCTGAGCTCCTTTCTGCCTCAGGGCCCTCTCGCCTCTGCCACTTCCCCTGCCAGAGCTGCTCCTCCTCCAGGTCTCTGCGCGGCTGGCTTCTCCCGTTTGTTTACATCTCAGCTGAAATGTCTCCCCTTTGCAGAGACCTTCCCCGCTCATCCCATCTAAGTAGTCGCCTGCTGGGTTCTCATGTCCTCGCTCTGCCACGTTGTCCGGCTTTAACCTCTTCAGAGCACATCATGTTCCTTCGATGACTGGGTTATTGTCTCCCCAGTAGAAGAGAAATTCCATCGGGTCTTATGTAACTTTTTTAAAAAAGACTTTATTTCTTTAGCGTACTTTCAGATTTACAACAAAGTCGAAGGGAAGATACAGAGATTTCCCACACACCCCCTGCCCCTGCACATGCGTAATCTGCCCCATCATCAACAGCACTCGCCAGAATGGTACATTTTCTTTTACCAAGGATGAACCTACTTTGACACATCATAACCATCCAAGACTTCACTCCTGATGTTGTCCATTTTATGGGTTTGGACAAATGTATAATGCCATTATCCATCATTATAATATCATACAGAGTATGTCTATACATTCGCTGCCCGAATAGTCGTCTACGCTCTGCCTGTTTCTCTACCCCTGCCCTCCCCCACAGCCCCTGATCTTTTTACTGCCTTCATCGTTTTGCCTTTTCCAGAATGTCATATAGTTGGAATCCTACCATATGCAGCCTCTTCCAATTGGCTTCTTTTACTTAGTAATATGCATTTAAGTTTCCTCCATGTCATTTCATGGCTTGATAGCTCATTTCTTTTTAGTGCCGAATCATATTCAGTTGTCTGGGTGGACCGCAGTTTATCCATTCACTTACTGAAGGACATCTTGGTTGTTTCCAAGCCTTGACAATTATGAATAAAGCTGCTATAAACATTTGTGTGCAGGTGTTTGCGTGGATATAAGTTTTCACTAAATACCAAGGAACGTGACTGCTTTTGTGTATGGCGAGAGTCTGCTTAGTTTTGTAAGTATACCATCAAACTGTCTTCCAAAGCAGCTGCACCATTTTGCATTTCCACCAGCAATAAACAAGAGTTCCTGCTGCTCCACATCCTTGTTAGTATTTGGTGTTGTCAGTTTTCTGGATTTTGGCCATGCTAATATCTGTGTCCCTGATGACATATGATGTGGAGCATCTTTTTATGTGCTTCTTTGTCATCTGTATATCTTTTTTGGTGTCTGTTCAGGTCTTTGGCCCATTTTCTTTTTTTTAAAATTTTTTAAAATTTTATTTATTTATTTTTAGACAGAGGGGAAGAGAGAGAGAAAGAGAGGGAGAGAAACAGCAATGTGTGGTTGTCTCTCACGCACCCGCACTGCCCCCCACCAGGAACCTGGCCAGCAACCCAGGCATGTGCCCTGATTGAGAATCGAACCGGCAATCCTTTGGTTTGCAGGCTAGTGCTCAATCCACTGAGCCACACCAGCCAGCGCTGGCCAATTTTTTTTAAATCCCATTGTTTTCCATTGAGTTTTAAGAGTCCTTTGTATATTTTACATAGCAGTCTTTTATCTGATGTGGGGGTTTTTTTGCAAATATTTTCTTCCAGTCTGTGTCTTGTGTTTTAGTTGTTTTGATGTTGTCTTTTGCAGAGCAGAATTTTTAATTTTAATGAAATCCAACTATCAATTATTTATTTCATGAATCATTTCTTTGGTGGTGTATCTACACAACTCATAGGTATATAGGTTTCCCCCTATCTTCTAGTTTTATAATTTTATGTTCTACATTTAGGTCTGTGATCCATTTCAACTTAAATTTTGCATAGGGTATAAAGTCTGTATCTAGATTCATTTTCTGCATGTGGATGGCCAGTTGTCCCAGCACCATTTGTTTAAGAGACTTGTCTCACTTTCACTGTTTTATGTCCAGGGACTGCCCAGTGCTTGGCAAACAATAGGTGCTCAATAAACATTGACTGAATAAAGGGAAGGAAAAAGTGGGCCAAGCCCAGATTTGTAAGGATAGCATTAGCAAGGCTAAAAGGTAACATAAATGGAGTCTTGTAACAGCTATAGAGACCACCCAAAACAGAGTTGTAAAAATTTTCTATCAGGTAAGAAGCCACGCAGTGACAGATGGGACAAGCCTCTGCAGGGTGACAGGAGAAAGCAGAGCACCCCACCCTACATTCTGTTTCAGTCCCTGCAGTCAAGGACAAGTGCTTTGGATGAGGTGGGAGGAGCCTGGGACCTCCCATTCTCTCCCAGGGGGTCCAACTCAGCTGACTCCACCTCCACGTGGAGGAAGCTCAGGATCACCAGGATGTGGTGACAAAGCACAAGTCCTATCAGACACAGTTCTGTCCTCGTTTGGCAAGGACACCAAGGTGGTGGATGGGACAAATGCCACCCCAGAGAGCTGAGCCTTGCCAATAAGAGTGCTGAGCTGCTCTCGGTGACCCTCAGGGTGTGGTAGGTGAAGGGAAAGTCCCCTGTAACAATGTGGCCTGCAGGGGGAAGCATCAAAGGTAAGAGAAGATAATTTCTTTCTTTCTGTCCTCAATGTGTGTGGGGCCAGGAACTAGGGCACGGTGACTAGGGAAAGTCTTGAGGACCTGCTTAGTTGGGGAGACCGCAGTGGCGACTTTTGTCTTGTAGACAGAGGAAGTAGCATTCTGAGGCGTCTGAATGGGACTGTCACCCAGGCATGACTTTAACATTGATTGCCAGTGTTGGGGGCTGGAGAACAGAATTTTGGTGTGAGGAGACCCAGAGCTGGTGGCCCATGGCCACAACCCACAAGTATATGTGGTCTGGCTCAGATAGCATTTGGCCGCATGGTGTGAAGTATGTGTTCTTACTGCTGTTACTGTTTTTTAATTTTAAACATGATTTACATTTAGTTATCTCCTTATCCATTCAGAAATGGTCACATAAAACAAGATTTCTGGCCACCCTTGAAATTGGGGAAGTTCAGCAACTCTGGACCAGCACTCCTCGCCTACCGCAGTGAAGTGCTGAAGTGGCCCTACAGATGCCTCGGGCGCAGGCTGGTGGCACGAGTCTTCTGACCTGCACATCTGGCTGCAGCTGCTGGGCTGCGTGAGAAACACAGAGGCTGCGCTGTCGGCAGCCTTCGTTGAGGGATCAGGCTGGGGACGTCTGGTGGCCGTGGCTTCTCCCAGGTCCTCCTGACAGCCCACTGCCAGGCCAGGCGAGAGACATCACATTGTGGGACGTCCCGAAGTGGGCCTTACCAAGCCTCGCAGGTCCCCAGCCCCGCCTTAGGAAACCCAGCGTAATTATTTATGTGACTGAAAAAGAAAGCAGTGACCCCTATGGCAGGGTTTATTTCTTCTGAGAGCCTCTCTGCTTGGTTTACAGATGGCCATTTTATTTCTGTATTCACATGGTTTTTCCTTTATATCTATCTATGTCTTAATTTCTTCAATTTTTTTTTATTTAAGTATAGTTGGCATATAATATTGTGGTGGTTAATGTGTACAGTATAGTGATTCGCCATTTATGAACCATATAATGTCATCACTATGATGAGTCTAGTGACCATATGTCACTGTGCAAAGTAGTTACAATGCACCTCCATGTTCATTGCAGCATTACTTATAATAGCCAAGATATGGAAGCAACCTCGGTGTCCATCAACATACAAATGGATAAAGAAGATGTGGTACATACTGAGGACAGTTTGTACAACATCGATGTAACCTGGCAGCCAAGAAGAGTGGGACTGGAATGCACACGAGTGAACAATGATGACTTCACTGTACTAGTCAGTGGGGACAGTAGATGTCAGTGAGTGAGCATGTGTACTGTGTAGCTGTCACATTCAAAATGACTTGAGTGAATAGAGCAACAAATCTGCATCAAATTTTGCTTTAAGCTTGAACATTCCTCCATAGAAACTATTCAGATAATTCAGAAGGCCGCAGCGATGGGCAACTGGTGACTGGCATCTTCATCATGACAACGCACCTGCTCATGCATCACATCTTGTGCTGTGTTTTGGCAAAACACCAAACCACCCAGGTGACTCTGCCCCCCTACAGCCCAGATTTGGTGCCCTGCTACTTCTGGCTTTTCCCAAAACTAAAATCACCTTTGAAAGGGAAGAGATTTCAGACCACCAATAGGATTTAGGAAAATATGATGGGGCAGCTGATGGCAATTAGGAGAATTGTTAAGGTCCCAATGTGCCTACTTTGAAGGAGACTGAGGCATCATTGTCCTAAGCACAATGTTTCTTGTATCTCGTATCTTCTTCAATAAATGTCTCATTTTTCATATTACATAACTGGATACTTTCGGGACAAACCATATATACCATATTTTGCCATGTGTAATGCACACCCATGTTTTTGTGTGTGGATTATCCATGAGATTATTATACCCATTATTATACTCATGGTATTTAATAATTTTGCCCATGTATAATGTGTATCCTTATTTTTCCCTCAAACATTTGGGCAAAAAAATGTGCATTATACATGGCAAAATACTGTATATACACATATAATGGAATGTTATTTAGCAATAAAAAAAGAACGAAATCTTGCCATTTGTAACATGAGTGGACCGAGAGGGTATATTATGCTAAGAGAAATAAGTCAGACAAAGACAAATACCATAAAATTTCACTTACATGTGGGATCTAAAAAGACAAAACAGAAGTCTAGCCATCTTTCCTGGCCTATTCAAATGTGTGTCACTCTGCCCCTCAGCAGACCTCCTGAAGTTCATCTTACCCTGGCCCGCAGGTCTGTCGCCTGTGCTTGTATACTACATGCTCCTTGAGGGCAGGATGGTAGTTCAGTCACCTTCCACAGAGCCCATTCCAGAGTTCCTTACATGGACGGCTCTCAAAGTATCAGTTGAATGGCCCTGGCTGGTATGGCTCAGTTGGTTGGAGAGTTCTCCCATAAATTGAAAGGTTGTGGGTTCAATTCCCTGTCAGGGCACATGCCTGGGTTGCAGGTTCAGTTTCTGGTTGGGGCAAATACTAGAGGCAACCGATCATGTTGATCTCTCGTACTGATGTTACTTTCCCTCTCTCTCTCTAAAATCAATAAGCTTGTCCTCAGGTGGAGATTTAAAAAAAAACCAAAACACATGTCAGATGAATGAAATTGAATCTGGAGGCTGGATGCACCCATCCACTACCTGTGCTACCAGTGACCTTCCACAAGAGGGCAGCCTCAGCTGGTGCCACAGCCTTTTCTACCCCCGCAAGGGTGGGCAGGGTTTTGGTGGGAGGAGCCTGGCTCTCCATGGCTCCTCAACTTCTTTAAGGGTTCTGCTTGGACAACCAGATTAAGTTATCTGTTTCTTCGTTCCCTCACTGACATTTATTCAGCATCCACCGTAGACCCAACAGAAAGTGCAGTGGTGAATTAAACACACTCCGCTCTTGCCTCGTTCCCAGTCCAGTGCAGCCCAACTGGACAACTCATTGTTTCCCAGCCAGCCCTGGGTGTTCTGTGCCTGCCCCGTTTTGCTCCCTCTTTCTTCTACTCCTTCTGGCCCAGATGCCTCCGCCATCCCCTCTGTTGAAATCCCAATCACCCTTCTGGGCCCAGCTGCCATGCCTGACTCCCTCAGAGGATCGAACGCCCTCTGAGGGACACAGTGATGGTGGAGGGGCGGGGGGGTGGGGCACAGGCCTCTCTAGTGCCACCTCAGGGGATGGCTTCAGCCTGCAAAGGAGGTGGGAGACAGACCACCTCTGCGGCCCTTCCCAATTTAAGATTCCGTAAGGGACATTGGAGGCTCTCCCTCACCAAAATGCCAGACTACACCGTCCTTCTCCCCAGCCACCACTGCACCCACGGACAAGGTAACCCTTCGGATTTAACCCCACGAGAGTGGGATTCCATGGACTGGGACAGACAATGGGTCTCTTGTTTGCTTTTCCAACATGTCTCCAGCGTTGACTGAAGATCTACTATGTGCCATGTCCACTTCCTTAAGCGTGCTCTTCCGCCTTCCTTTTCTTTAGGGGGTGTGTGTGTGTTTCACCATGACTCTTGGGGTCCACCCAGGCTTGGTGGGCTCACAGCAGAGGCACTTGGCTCTCCCTACCAACCTGGCTTCCTGGAGACCAAAACCACAAGTAGAGCACAGAGATGTGAGAGACACTCACAGGCTGGGTTTGCCCGCATGCGCACAAGAGCATTTTCTCTTGCAAAGAGGAAGATACAAACAGGATCAGCAAAGGATAGAGCAGGTGTGAGGGGCACCCAGGAGCCGTGTCCACTTCCTGGCCCTAGGATGGCTTTCTCCGCTGGCAGACACGCGTAGCAGTCAGCGATGGCGCCAGACATGTGGTTCTTCTTCTTCGTGATCGCTGGATGGCTGATGGGAGCCCTCTCAGGTAGCCCCTATTTCTCACCTCCCATCACTCCTGCTGGAGGACTTGGGTCCTGGCCTCTTGGCCCTCTTTCTGGTTGTTTTCTCTCACTCACTTTTCCAGGGCCTTTTAGCCAAGGCTGTACTCTGGTACCAGGGAGGCCCCAGCTGTGCCAACAGCCATCAGGGCACCGAGAGGTTACGGGAACCCCTTTGTGGGGGGTGGCTGGGCTGTGCCTGGACAGAGCTAAAAGGGCACCTGAGGCTGAGGTCAGGAACACGCATGCTCTTGCCAATGGGTTCCCAAGGGTCTGAGCAGGGAGACGCCGCCCACCCGCGGGCTCGGGAACTCCCCTGTTCCCTAGTTCTTGCCAACTCTCAGGAAGAACCCACTTGCCTTCCAAAAGGCAGGACCACTGGCGATTGTATTTTCAACCCCAGAGCCAAGGCTCTGGGCTCACCAGGCTTGCACTGCTCACAGTAGAGCTGTCTAAAGCAGGGCTCTGGGAACCAAGGGGTGTTGAGGGCGGCTGGTGGCTCTGACACAACTATTTGGGGGCAGTTTAAGACACAAATGAACAGGAAGGCTCTTGAGAACCACCTCCCTTTCCTCCTGAGCTCTCCCTGGGTGCCAGGGCACCTTCATGACCTGGGCCGGGGCTTCAAGTGGCCAGAAGGTTTGGGTGCTGGGCTGGGCTCATCGAATGCTATTGGCCCTGCTTAATGTGGGTCCAAGCTGGTAGGTGCTGGGCAAGGGCCCAGAAATACAAGAGATCTTGCCACAGTTCAGCCCTCGCATTTGAGGGTTAGGGATACTGATGTGGAAACAGAATTCTGGGCCAAGGGAGTCTGGGTCCACCTGGCAGTGGAGATGGCAAATACGTTCAGTTTCATATGGGGGAGACCCAGGAAGACTCATCAGGGCCATTCGAGACAGCTGGGAGGACTGAGAACATTGGGAGAGCTTTGGGGGGGCCTTCTTTTCTCTGCCTCTACCATGTGCTCTGAGCTTCCTGGCCTCACAGTGTGGTTCAGGGAAAGCTGGTTCGCTCTGGGAGCCAGGATGTGAGTACCTTCAGCCCCATGTGGGTCATCCTGGCCTCTCTTGCTGTACAAGGAGCACCCAGAGTCAGCTACCTTCTTCCCTGAGCTGAGACAGATGGTCACAGTGGATCCCTTCCTCCCCATCTTCATTTTTCCCACTCTCTGTTTTTCTCCATGAGTCCTAGCCATCAGCTTTGGCTCCAAGTGAAGTCTGATTCTGAAAGGTCTGTTAGCTGGCCCTTAGGCTCAGGGAACTGACCTTAAACGGTGCCTGAAGGGAAGGAGGAACTCAGGGCCCAGGAAAGAGATCAGGACAGGGAAGTGAAAGGGCCTCTGGAGCCAAGTTCCTTGCCTTCAGTCCTCCTAGACTCATTCTGACACTCCTGCCTGACCCACCCCACTCCCAGTACCCTCAGTGATTTACTGTGTGTTTTTGAAACTGCACTTATGTTCGATTGACCCACTGGCTAATAACACAAGTTTAGATTTGAAAGGAAACTGTCACTATTACAAATGGAAAACCAGCATCATCTGCCATAAGTAAAGGTAAAGATAAGCAGAAAAATAAACAGCGGTGAAAACAATTTCTATTACATGTTCATGAAGAGTTAAGAGAATGTAAAAGCCCTTGAGCCTGAATCCTGTGCCTTGCTGCCTCTATTTAAGGGGAGCTGGGAGTGAGGGGGCGGAAATAAGTGGAGCTGAAGGGAGTAACAAAAACTCTGGTTCGAAAATGTTACTTTTTTCTTGACTTTTTAGGGCGACTGAAAGCACTGTGAGCAGGAAACAGTGTGTTTGCTCTTTGTTTTAATGACATTAAATGATGCTTCCTTAAACCCTCCTCAGTAGGGTCCTCAGTAGTCTATGTCCTATTGCTGAGAAGTATGTTCTGGTAAGAAAGGCATTCTAGGCACAAACTGTGCACAAATCCTCCCAGGAGCGGAGAGGGCACCAAGGGACCCTCTTGTGTGTCCAAAGCAAGCTGATGTGGGGGAGACTGTGACCCGGGTCTCTCTGAGTGGTTCTTCCCGCCCGCCCTGGTGCAGAAGGCCCGAACCCTGGCAGGACAGACCCAGGTCTGCTTGTGGGCTTCTCCTTGGCCAGACTGGTATGTTGGGCAGACCAGGGCAGGGAAAGGAGATTAGGACCTCCAAGGGAAAAAAAGAAAAAGAAAGAAATTAAATTAATGGAGAAGAGTGAGGGACAGGAGTCAGGAGCTTGGAGAATGAGGCCCATGAGAAAGTTTCAGGGCCTTCAGGGCCACAAGCAGTGTGTGCAGCTTGGTGGGGTTACCAGGCTATGCCCTGGGCCTGCCGGCGGCTAGAGTCTGGCCCTCTGGGGTCCTGGCAGACCTGGCCATGGCAGTGGGTGCCGCATAGGACATCTCACAGCCCCAGCTCTAGGCTCCATCCCATGCTGCTCTTAGCTAGTTCCCTGTCCAGGCCGGCCCCGGGCCCGGGCTGTCTCATCGGACCTTGGTTTATGCTGTTGAATGACCAGGGCAGAGGCCAGGACCTAGGGAGCCATGCTTCCCAATTCTTTGCTGGTGTTCCCTCCATTTCTGTGCCTCAGTTTCCTGATCAGCCAACTGGGGCTGAAGGGGCAGAGAGAAAGAGCTATACAAGCCCATGACTGGGGAGGATGGGGTGGGGTCGGGAGGCGGGTAGTATTTGTCCAGTCCCGGCCTCTGGTTCACCGTGTGCTCCTCCTCTCTGGACCTCGGTGTTCCTGTCTGTGGAATGGGGCGCTTTGGGAAGACAATCCCTAAGGGCTCAGTCAGGTCTGACCGCTTGCGTGCGATGTGGTAGCAAAGAGCCAGGCCGGTGCCAAGGTGGATGACTCTAGCGTCATCTGGACTGCGGTTGGAGATGTCCTTCCTCAAGGGCTGCTGCTGTGCACTGAAAAGTCTATTTGTGGTTTCTTAAATTAACAATTTTTTAAAAAAATCTATTTTTTCTTAACTTAGAAGTTCAATATCCAAATCTCATTTTATGTATAAATCCAGTCATTTTTAACAACGATTCTCAAGGAGTCTTTGATTAATATTTCAGTAAATCAGGTTAAACAGAATAAGCTTCCCTAAATAATAAATACTGAATATACATGTAGCTGCAGTTCCTTTAGATCTGCGCTGTCCTCTACGGTAGCCACTAGAATGTGCGTTGGAAATGCGGTAGTCGAAACTGAGATGTGCTGGAAATGTGAAACACACGGCAGATTTTAGAGATGCGTTAAAACAGTGTAAAAGATCTCATTAATGACTTTTATATGAATTACGTGTTGAAATGATAATATTTTGGATACGTTGAGTTGAATTTTATTACAATGGTGTTTACCTATTCTTTTTAAAATGTGGCTACTAGACAATTTAAAATAATATACAAGGCAGAGCAAAAGTAGGTTTACAGTTGTTCATATGGGAAATAATGCAATAATTAATAAATTATAATGTAAGAATAAACTCTGTTTTGCATACTCGCAACTGTATACCTCCTTAAACCTACTTTTGCCCCATCCTGTACATACTCACATTATATTTATATAGAACAGCACTGCCTTAGATATTCTAAACTACATTTACTAATTTAATAAATTTTATTTTTCTTATAAATGCTTCAAATACCACTAAGAAATAAGACTCTCCCAAGGATTTCAAAGAATGTTTTGATCTATAAAGTTAACTTATAAACAAAGTGAATAGTAAGTTCTCTTAAATATTCTAATAATGTTTACAGACATTGTCAAATTCTCTTAAATTTTCGACTAGCATCAGTTAACTCAATTGCACAAATGAGAAACTCTGGTGGCCAAATGTTCTTAAACATCACAAATACAGGACTTTATACACAAACATGCAAAATTTGACACAACTTTTACTTAACACAAATGTACAAATACTATGGGCTTTTATTTATTTCATCACTATTTTTAAATCTTCCTCAGCCTAAATGCCACTTACCAGGAAGAGAATGGTATTGTCGGTCACCTGGATTACCTACAGCTGATAGGAGTTTCCTTCTCAATGGACTGAGATGAGCTGCAGTCAGTTTTTTTGTTGTTTTGCCAAAATATAAGGCATAATTGTGCTGCGTTGCTGACTGACATGCAGTGCCCTTTTTGAGAGCCCAAGACCTCCAGTTGGGCTGGTCCCTTGTCCCATGACCTCTAGATCCAAGTTATATAACCTAATTCTCTAGGTCTGCCCCCACCCCAGCATTTAATTGGATTAAATTAAACCAATATGTATACTATTTTTTTCACATTCTGTGTGCCGGGCAAGAGTACAGCTCATAGATACATAAATAACATATAGCAGGCGTCTGCATATTTCTTCTGGCTTAGTCTGGCTTTCTGGTCATAGGTCAATGCCTGGTGGCGACAGATAGCATGGCTGCCTGTGATGGTGACATGGGACAAGGCAGCTGGGGCTTTGGAGCTGGCACATGTAGCTAAATGTAGATGATTACAGAGGGATCCAGAACGAGGGAGAAACACTGCCCACAGCCTTCCTTGCTCAGTCACGCTGGCTTCATTTTCACAGAGGGAAGCTCAAGAATCATATTGGTCTCTCAACTGTTGAATTCAGAGGCTAAGAATCAGCCTTCTCCCAGGACAAAAAATAAATAAATAAATAAAATAAGCAGGTGGTCTCAACTGAGGCTTCAAGGCAAGAGTTTGGAGGAAAAGGCCGGCCTGGAACGGGGCCACCATTCCTCCGTCCAGACCACAGCACCAAAACCACCAACTCGCGCCTAAGCCTGTGCTCAGGCCTGCACTGAGCAGACTAGGGTGGGGCTAGAAGCCCCGGGGCCACCTCCTTTGCTGGTTACAGCATCCCCTGTCCCTCCATCCCACCCTCAGCACCAGCCCCACCCCCAGGCAGGCTGGGAGCCGTGAGTTCCCCATGTTTGCTGTAGCTGCCATCTACTTAACGATTTACTTAATACTCCTTAATTCATTCATATATTTTTAGGGGGGAAA